AACGTCCCAGGGCGCCCCCACCCCCAGCACACAGCCTCTGGGCCAGGGAAAGAGGACTTCGGGTTGGAAGTTCTAACCCACGCCCCGGCCCGAACGGCTAGGGGCTCAAGGCTCACGCCGAGAGCCCGGCCAACCGATGTTGCATCCTCTCCCGGCCCCTTCGCACCCCCCAGCGCGGCCCGCGTCCCGCGGCCCCCCGCACGCACTGCGAGAACGCCGAGACGTGGTTGAGCGCGTAGGACACAGGGAGGGCGCCGAGCGACAGAGCCGCGATCTTGCCCGCCAGCGGCGGGATGTCCATAGCTGCGGTGCCGGGACCCCGCTCGGCCCCGCTTGACCTCCAGGGCGCTCCGCTCCTCCGTGGTGGCGCGTCTCGGCGGGAGGTTGCCAGGGACTCGGCCCGGCCCCGCCCCGCCCCGCGCAAAGGTCGCCCCCAGCTGCGCCCAGGTCCTGTCGCAGCCCCGGCCACCCGGGTGCTCCAGGGGAGCCTCCGAGGCCCCACCCCCTTGCAGCGGCCCTGCCCCTTCGATACCGTCACCGGACTCAGGGCGATCCTCAGGGGCCGTCCCGTCGCCCAGCGCAGTTTCCCTCTATTAAGGCCAGATCACGACGCTCGCGCCCTGGAGATCCGGGACTGGCACTTTTATTCTGAGGAAATTCGTTTGCCTGCTCTGTTCTGCTTTTCTGCTTTCTTCATCCCACATTCCGTGCGCGCCCCAAGGAGAAACCAATCTCACTACTTGGGTGCAGTTCCCTTCAGTGTCCTTGGATTTGAATTTTCACTCGGGGGCCACAGACACATTATTATTATTATTATTATTATTATTATTATTATATTTTTAAAATATATTTTATTGCTTTTTTACAGAGAGGAAGGGAGATAGTTAGAAACATCGATGAGAGAGAAACATGATCAGCTGCCTCCTGCACACCCCCTGCTGGGGATGTACCTGCAACCAAGGTACATGCCCTTGACCGGAATCAAACCTGGGACCCTTCAGTCCGCAGGCTAATGCTCTATCCACTGAGCCAAACCCGTTAGGGCTTATCTTTTATTTTTTTTAAAATATATTTTTATTGATTTCAGAGAGGAAAGGAGAGGAAGAGAGAGAAACATCAATGATGAGAGAGAATCATTGGTTGGCTGCCTCCTGCTGCACACCCCCTACTGGGGATTGAGCTCGCAACCCTGGCATGTCCCCTTGACCAGAATCAAATCTCGGACCCTTCAGTCCACAGACCAACATTTCAGAGAGGAAGGGAGAGGGAGAGAGAGAGAAACTTCAATGATGAGAATTGGCTGCCTCCTGAATGCCCCCCCACGAGGAAGGAGCTGGGAGGAGCTGGCAACCCGGCATGTGCCCTTAACCAGAATCAAACCCAGGATCCTTCAGTCTGCAGGCTGACACTATATCCACTGAGCCAGACCGGCTAGGACACATTTTTATTATTTTTAAAAAAATTATTTTTATTGATTTCAGAGAGGGAGAGAGAAACATCAATGATGAGAATCATGGATCCCCTGCCTCCTGCACACCCCACTCTGGGGATGGAGCCTGCAACCTGGGCAGGTGCCCTGACCAGGAATCGAACCATGACCTCCTGGTTCATAGGTCCATGCTCAACCACTGAGCCATGCCAGCTGGGCCACAGACACATTTTAAACACGTGTCCAAGTGTGAAACTTGACAGTCTGGGTGGGGATCATCTCAGGGCAGGCGGCTACAGCCTTGGGTTGGGGTCCCTTGAAGGCCTCTGTGATTCCTGCTCTGAGATCCTTCCTTATAGCCAGGACACCCTGTGGGTAGCTGAGGGCGGGATGGGAGGGGCTACTCACATGGGCGGGGTCAGAGGGAGGTGGCCCAAGATTAAGTGGGGATGGAGCCAGTTAGTGAGAAGTTCCTGACAAGGAGAATAGCTCAGGCCTGGGGCTGAGCAGCAGTAAGGAGCCTGGGGCTGGGAAGGTTCTGAGCAGCCTGGAGGCTGTGCTGGATTCGGGGGAGGTATAAAGGGGGGATGGACCTCGGAGGGGGCTGCAAGGTGGGAATTAGGTCTCTGCTACTACCTTCAAACAGGCTCTCACCCATGTAGTACTATGGCTGCTGGAAACGAGTGTGCAGTGCCCACCTAATTCCTTCCTGGGTTGGGGGGGGGGGGGATTGAAACCCTCATCCCTTTTCCATGCAGCCCCTTGGCCTTGTGCCAGCTGGGTCCTATCTCTAAGCCTGGGTAACATGATCTTCTGGCCTTCCCCAGAGGCCCCTTGACCATGGGGTGAAGTTCAGGTTCCTCTGGGCTGACTTGAAACTCCAGCCTGGTTTCTTGACCTTCCCAACTCTGGCAGTGCCCAAAGCCCACAGGCCTCTTTCCTGTATACAAGATGGACCCTCTTATACTTCCTCACCCCTTAAAGAACTTCCCACTGTCTCCCCCTCCAGGCAGCCCTCCCTGCCAACTGCAGGGCCAGGGGTGTCTAGTCCAGCTCTGTCTAGGGGCCTGGCCTTGCACCCTGGGTCTGGGAGGTACCTGCACACACACACACAGCAATTGAGAGACCTCATCTTCCAACTCTCCCCATGCATGGGGGTAAAGTCCATGGGCCGAGTCTGGACAGCTTCCCAGTCACTGAGAATTTAATGGAGGGGTGACCTTGACCTGTCTGGGAGGGGGGGTGCCTGGGGACCGCTGGCTTCCCATAGCTACTCATCTGTGCTTAGGACTTTGGCAAGAGTCACCTCTTTGCCCTGCCTGGGCACAGCACCCATGGAAGGGGGACGGTGGTATACGTCACCCAATCTACTCTGCTGTTGAGACCCTCCCAGCCCCTGAAGCCCCCAGGCCACCTGGCCCAGGCCACCTGCCCAGCCCAGCTGTTTCTCCTGGCAGCATCGATCAGTGTATTGTTAGTTCACTGTCACAGGTGCTCAGTGTTTGCTGAATGCAGGCTGGCCCAGGAGCCTGATTCTAGCTTGAATCGAGCCCATGAGCCCACAGGGATTGAGCATGACCCACTGGGTGCATGTGTGTACAGGTGGGTGAGTTGTGGTCCCCTCAAATTCCCAGGCTGATACTTCAAGCATGGCTGCAGCTGAAGATCCCCAGGTGTTTCTGCACAGATGTGAGGTACTGGATCTAGAGACATGGTAGCTCTCAGCACACATTGGCCAGGCCACCCACAGGCCTCACATCCTCTAGGACAGAGGTGGGGAACGTCAGGCCCAAGGGTCTTATAAGGCCCACAAAATCATTTGGTTTGGCCCTGCCAAGGCATTAAGGGTGAGTTAATTAAATGTCTGACCAAATACAGCAGGCTAATTTTTAAGTTAATTTTTTTAAAAAATATGTTTTTATTGATTTCAGAGAGAGGGAGAGGGAGAGGGAGAGAGAGATAGAAATATCAATGATAAGAGAGAAACATTGATCAGCTGCCTCCTGCACATCCCCTACTGGGGATGGCCTACAACCCAGGCACGGACCCTGACCGGGAATCGAACCCTGACCTCCTGGTTTATAGGTTGATGCTCAACCACTGAGCAACACCAGCTGGGCTAAGTTGGTAATTTTGAATGATGTTATAAATACCCAAATGGCCCTTGGCAGAAAAAAGGTTCCCCACCCCTGCTCTAGGAGGTGTGAGACATTTTAGCACACAGCTGTCCCACAGAGGCATGAGCCCCAGGGACACGTGTACACCACAGGTGGGACCCAGTGCAGCTGTGGCAGCATGGGCTGCAGCCATCACTGGCAGGGAATATCATTTGACAGGGAGGTGGGTAGCATTGATGTGCCCTGGGGAAGGCTAAGCCCTGTCTGGAGATCCCTCCCCAATTCCCTTCCATAGCACAGTGCTAGGCTGGGAGGGCCTGCCCAAGTGTGGCCCTCCTCTCTACTCCAACCCAGGCTGATGAGGGATGGAGACCCAACAAGCAAAGGTCCAGGTGGTGCTTTTGGATTCCTCAGGTGCTGGGGAGCCTTCACACAGCATCTCATTCTCACCTGCCCAGCCCAGCTCAGCTGCTGAAGAAGAGGAGGGGTCTCTGGTGATGGCACGACCAGGCTCCCACAGTGGGCAAGCATTGGGACTTTAATACATAGCATGACACTTGAGACAACGGAAAGGGCGGGCAGAAATGCAGTCCAAAACATTCTACAGTCCAAGAATGCTTGGTTGGTTGTCTGGAAAGTATGTTTCTGTGTTTCTCCAGAATACTCAGTAGTAAGGCCGCCTGGGGTTGTTCTGTGGGAGGCAATAAGATAAAAAGGGAGTGCATTAATGCTAAAGACAGATGGCAGCTCCTCCCACCCAGAACCTTTTAGGGGCAGCTGAGCTCACTCCTTGAGATGGCTGGCTTTGGAGAGGAAGAAGGGGCTCAAATGCAGGTGGAGTGGTAGTGGGGGTTGTTGGTGAGACCTGAACTAAGGGAGGAGGGACACTTCTGTTACCAGCACTACCACCCCACTACTGTGGACAGTGAGGAACCAGTGGCCACACCAGAGGAATGTGGGGGATGGGAATGCACGCACCAGAGGGTTGGGCCGGAAGCGGTAAGCCAGCATCATCCTCTTCCGGAAGGCCTCGTACTCGTCATCCTCCTTAGAAAGCTCTGCTGGCCGGTCAATGCCAAAACCAGCGCCATCCACTGTAGTTGTGCCCCTGTGGGGGATGAGGGAGGGTGCAGAATGTGAGCAGAAAAGCAGGCTGGTGTCAGCAGGAGAGCAGATGCCCAGCCTAAGCTGGGGCAGGAAGGCTTAGCCCACCAGCCTGCCTAGGAGCAGCAGCAGCAGCTCAAAGTGGGGCTGTGGGGGCCATGCAAGCTGTGCTGGGCTGGAGAACAGCTAAGTGGGACACATAGGAGGGAAGAGCCTGAGCTGGGCTGGCCACCATAGTTCACAGCTAGGCCTGACTCTGGCCCAGGGGCAGGACTAGACCCAGACCCTGGGACTAGTTTGGGATACTCCCTCACCCCCACCCTGTATCAAGGGTCACACTCACTTGTTAACTGGGTTCTTGATGCCCTGGCCCTCTGAGCCTAGACCGTCACCCTCCTTCCAGCCCATCTTCATCAGCATCTGGTAGCCAATATTCTCCACCGTCAGCTTGAATTCCTTGTACTCCGAGTAGTCAGGCTCACGGCCTTCCTGCATGACCAAGCAGCTGTCATCCCCTAGGGCCCAAACACGCCCCTTGGCTTCACTGGCCACTAGCTGGGACCATCAGCCCTTCTGTCCTCCACTTCAGACTAAGTTCCTCCTCCTCAGGGTTCCCATGGTCACACTTAGTGCTCTCTGGCAACCAAGTCAAAGGCAAGGTGACAGTCACACAGGCCTCCTCTACCATGGGCAAGATTAATGATTCACCTACAAAGAAAAGCTCAGCTTCTGAGGGCAATTTGTCACACAAAGTGTGAAAAAGCAGCCATGGTCAACTAGGTGGAGAGGCTTGTGCCAGTCAGCTGTCTCTCTATGGGCAGAGGAGGATGCTGAGCTTTCATTCTGAGGAGCCCAGTCCACGGGGGCTTGTGCCTCCTATTGCATGAATTGGCTTCACTGGAAGCAGGATTTCCCAAAGCCCCAGGAAATGTTTCTAAAGTGGCAGCTGAGCTATTTGTGAATTCCCCAAATGGACGTCTGCCAGGAACAGATGCCTCCTGTGGAAGAGGGCCTGGTTCCTCCTGTGTGTGAAGAGGCTGCCTGCTGGACAGGCCCACAGCAGGGCTGATGGCTGGGGACTCCCCATTCACCTTTAGGGCTTTGAAGGTCTCCATGAACTTCTCCAGCTCATCTGGTGGCAGAAAATCTCCAATGAAGTGCTTTCCCCGGCCCATCTTCGTCAGCTGCTCAGCCCACTCTGTCCGGAGAGATAGAAAAGGTAAAAGAAGGAAGAGGTGCGCGGCTGTGAGAGAGGGAGGCAGCTGGGGGAAGACCCTGACCTGAACCCTGCTCCCTCAGGACAGCCCTGCACCACTCCTTTTACTACTGAGAAGACTGAGGCACAGAAAAGCCAAGTCTTGTGTGCAAGGTCTTATAGGCCAACAGGTAAGTGGGGCTTCCAGCCACCCCCCGCTGGAAACCTCCGAGTACCCCGAGTCTTGTCCATCTCCATGCGCCGCAGCTGGTGCTCCCAGGTGCCCAGCTCGCTATCCACCTCCTCGTCACTGTCGTAGCCATGCTGGTGCTGCTGCAGTGCCTTCTCCCACAACAGTTGCATGTCCTGCATCGCTCGCTTGTGCTGCATGATCATGTCGTACATCTGCTGCATCTGTGGGGAGCACACACTATGACAGGGCCTGCACCACATAACTGAATCTCCCCATGTCCCTGTGATGAGAGAGGCCCCTCTGTGTCTTGCTCAGAACCAGGCATCATCATCATGGACTAAATGAGGGCAACTTGGGCTCCTTATCCCTAGGAATGTTAAGGGTGATGTGACAGAGCCCTGGCCTAGAGGAGGTGGCCAGGGTGAGGCGTCCCCAAGAACTGATAGGCCAGTGCCTCTAGTTCCCCAGGGAAGCAGCAAAGAGGCCAAGCTGACCCTCACCCCAACACTGCCCACTACCAGCTGAGTGGCCCTCACACCACTCAGGGCGCCCAGTGCTAGCCAGGCCTGTCCTGGACTGGATACTGGAGGGAACTGGATGGAAAATTTAAGATTACTGAGTGGGAACAGCCCACAGGCACTATGTGGAATAGTTATTGAGCACCAGCTGTGCGGATGACAGGCCAGCATGAGGAGGCCTGAGCTCTGGGCCCAGCTATACGGTGGGGTTGGCATGGTATTGGTGGGGAACCAGCCTGCCCAGGAGCCTCTCTGCTGACTGTGATCACTGCACCATAGGTGAGGGGGGGACAATCTGCCACCAGCAGCTGTGGAGCCTGCTCCACCCTCTGGCCTTACCTCCTGTTGCTCCTTCAGCTGCTTCTTTTGGGCGTCTGACAGTTCCGTGACGCCTACCAGACCCACGGGCTTCCCCTTCTCATAGCCTAGCCCCTTGAGGTCCTGAACTGGAAACAAGACACAGGTCAGTCAGTGATGGACACATGGGCCTGGCCCTGCTCTTGTGTGTGCGATGCAGAATCCACTCATTGACAACACCTGAGGCACTTGGAGCACGCACAGCAGAGCCCTCATATCAGTTGTTAGTCTCTCGTGTCACATGAGGACCACACGAGTCACACCTTGCACTGTCATGTGCACCCAATTTCATTCCCACATGCCCTCTCCAGGTAGGCCCTACATCCCCATGTTGTAAACACCAACACCAGAACTCAGAGGTCAGGGGCCTCAAATGAGGTCATATGGCTAATGGGTGACATGGTGAGGACTTTGCAGAGCTAGAGCAGAGACGAGAGTGTGTGCACACGCACAAACACTGGCTCATGGAAGTCTATCCTGTGGAGGACAGACACCTAGTATAGACATACATAGGTTTGGCGTCTGGTGTAAGACTCAGCTGTGTGGCTCTGTTTAGCTCCTTCTGGAGAGGCAGCCAGTTGTCCTCACAGCATTTAATTTGGCATCAGCTTCGGAGCTTGGCTGGAGCTCGAGCAGCACTGATTCATGTGAAGATGCTATGATGGCCCATCTGGGTGTTGGTTTCTGGGGGAGAAGCCAGGCAGATGAGTGGAGAGGATCCTCTGGGAAAGTGAAGAGAGCTGGGTGCTCCAGCTCCCCATGGCTGGGGCTTTGCCAGCAAGAACCAAATGCAGATGCTCTGTGACCCCAGGACTGCACCTCAATCCCTCCTTGAAGAAGGTCTGTGGGGGCTTTGAACTATATGAGAGCCCTATGCAGAAGGCTTTCTATGACAAGAATGAATGTTAAGTACTTTAAAGTTTAAGGGAGACAATAGGATCTATCTATATGTCATCTACAAGAAACTCACTTTAGATAAAAAGATACAAACAGGTTGAAAGTAAAAGGATGGGAAACAAAAATTCCATGTAAATAGTACTGAGAGAGTTGGGAAGGATATACTAGTCTCAGACAAAATATACTTAAAGTCAAATAAGATTACAATATATAGACTCAATGGTGAAAGACTGAAAGTTTTCCCTTAAGATAAGGAGCAGTGCCAAGTATCCCCACTTTTGCCACTTGCATTCAACATAGCACTGCAGGTCCTAGCCAAAGCAATTAGGAAAGAAGAAGAAAGATGAGGCATTGAAATTAGAAAGGAAGAGGTAAAATGGTCACTATCTGCAGACGACATAATCTTATATCCCTAATGAATCTACAAAAGGATTATTAGAGCTGAAAAATGAATTCAGCAAAGTTGAAAGATACATAATCAATACACAAAAATCAGTTGTATTTCTATACACTAAGAACACATAATCCAAAAATTAAATTTAAAAAGTTTCCACTTATAATAGCATCAAAAAGAATAAACCACTTAGGAACACATTTAAACAAGGAGATGCAAGAACTATAAAACAAAAACTACATGTTAGAATGAATGAATGAAGATCTAAGTAAATGAGAGACATCCTATGTATTCACAGATTGGAAGTCTTAAATATTGTTAACATGTCAGTGCTACCAAAAGTGACCTACAGATTCAAATGCAATCCCTATCAAAATCCCAACAGTTTTTTTTGCAGATATGAAAAAGCCTATCTGAAAACCCATATGAAAATTCAAGAGACTCCAGGGAATAGCCAAAGCTTGAAAAAGAAGAACAAAATTGGAAAACACTCATGATTTCAAAACTTACCACAAAGGTACAGTTATCAAAACAGTGAGGTACTGGTGTAAAGATAGACATACAAACCAGTGTAATAGAATAGGGCCCAGAAAAAACTTTTACATCCATGGTCAACTGATATTTGACAAGGGTGTCAAGACCATTTAATGGGGGAAGAACAGTCTCTTTAACAAATAGTGTTAGGACAACTAGATATCCACATGGAAAAGGATAAAGTTGGACCCTTACCCTATATCAGATATAAAAATTAATTTAAACCTGCCTGGCATGGCTCAGTGGTTGAGCGCCAATCTATGAACCAGGAGGTCACAGTTCAATTCCTGGTCAGGGAATATACCTGGGTTGTGGGCTTGATCCCCAGTAGGGGGCATGCAGGAGGCAGCCAATCAATGATTCTCTCTCATCATTGATGTTTCTATCTCTGTCTCCCTCTCCTTTCCTCTCTTAAATCAATAAAAAATGTAATTCAAAATGGATCAATGGATAAAATCCTACGTTTAAGCCCTGGCTGGTGGTTCAGTGGTTAGAGCATCAGCTTGTGCACCCAAGGGTCTTGGGTTCGATTCACAGTCAAGGGCATGTACCTGGGTTGCAGGTTTGATCCCCAGCCCCAGTTGGGGCGCATATAGGAGGCAACCAATAGATGTTTCTTTCTCCCCCTCCTTCCCTCCTTTCCACTTTCTCTAAAGATCAATGAAAAAACTATCATCGGGTGAGGAGTAACAAATACCTAAATTTAAGACCTAAAATTATACACCTCCCTTCTCCAGCACAGACAGCACCTGGACCATGGACCCCAGGGAATGCTCCTGCTTGTCTTAAGGAATATGCATCTGTGGAGACAACTGCAAATGCACATCTTGCAACTGTAAAACATGTCGAAAAAGCTGCTGCTCCTGCTGCTCCCCGGGCTGTGCCAAGTGTGCCCAAGGCTGCACCTGCAAAGGAGGCTCAAGCAAGTGCAGCTGCTGCCACTGAAATGCACCAGTCGTGCTGGGAGTAAGGCCTGGGAAGCGTCTGTACAGTGCGTTAGTTGAGAAGTTGAGATGATTGTGCTTGTTATATATTTGCCCCAATGAGGTGTTGGTGACATTCATGTAAAGTGTTGGAGCAATAAAGTTTTCACTCATGGAAAAAAAAAAGACCTGAAACTATAAAACTCTTAGAAGAAAATACAGGGTCAAATCTTCATGACCTTGGATTTGGCTATGGTTTCTTAAATATGACACCAAAATCATAGGCCACAAACAAAAAATTAAATTGAACTTCATTAACATTTAAAACTTTTGTGAATCAAAAGATACTATTAAGAGGGTAAAAAGACGATCCAAAGAATGAGAGAAAATATTTGCAAATAATATATATAACAGGAGTTAATATCCAGAATACACAAAGAACTCCTACAATTCAACAACAAAACCACAAACAACCCAATTAAAAAATGGGAAAAGTACTAAAATAGACATTTCTCCAAATAAGCTATACAAATGGCCAACGAGCACATGGAAAGATGCTCAACACTATTAGTCACTAGAAAAATGCAAAAACTACAATGTGATCCCAGTTTATACTGGCATGACTATAAGGCGAGGATGTGGAGAAATCGAAACTCTTGTGCATTGCTGGAGGGATGTAAAATGATGCACCCGCCGTAGAGAACAGTTTGGTGGTTCCTTAAAAAGTTAAATGTACGCCATAACCGGTTTGCCTCAGTGGATAGAGCGTCGGCCTGCGGACTGAAGGGTCCCAGGTTTGATTCCGGTCAAGGGCATGTACCTTGGTTGCGGGCACATTCCCAGTGGGAGGTGTGCAGGAGGCAGCTGATCGATGTTTCTCTCTCATCGATGTTTCTAACTCTCTATCCATCTCCCTTCCTCTCTGTAAAAAATCAATAAAATATATTAAAAAAATAAAAGTTAAATGTAGAATCACCATATGACCCAGCAATTCCACTCCTAGGTATACACACAGAACTGAAATAAGGGATCCAAATAGTACTTGTATATGTGTGTTCACAGCAGTACTAGTCACAACTGCCAAAAGGTGGAAACCACCCGTGTCTATTGGCAGATAAAGGATGAACAAAAGTGTAGTCCATCCACACACTGAAATACTATTCAGCCACAGAAGGGAAGGAAGTCCTGACACCTGCTACATACAACACAGATAAACCCTGACAACTCGATGCCAGACTTCTTGAAAAAGCCCACCTGACAGGGGTGAGGGGGTGGCATCCACGTCTCTCTGCACCAGCTCGGTGGGTGGGAGTTCCACCTTTTCCTCCTCAGGCCCCCATCGGCTCTTTCGCTTCCTCTTCACAGTGGCTGTAGTGGCTGGCTTTCCATGGGCAGCTGGAGCTGGGTTGACAGCAGGTGAGGGGGCAGATGAAGTAGGGCAAGCAGCAGTGAGGGGTACAGATCCGGACAGGATCTCAGGAGGCGGTCTGCGCTGAGGGCAGAGCTCCGGCACCATTTGGGTGCCTGTCGGGCCTGCCCTTGCTTTTCGGAACTCCTCCAGTTTCTGGCGGTAGTATTTGTAACCCTGGCTGCTGGGTTCGTACAGAAAGCTGCAAAGAAGAGTGGAAGGGCACACTGTCAGTTGGGGCAGGGGTAGCATGGGTCTTGTGCAAGCCCCCCAGGTCAGCCAGGGTCTCTTCAAAGTCTCCACTATGACCTCCTGTACTGCCAGGCCTCAGTGGCTGCTGGCTCTAGTGACCCAAAATTAAAAAATAACGTGGCCTGCCACAGCCTGTCACAATGCTGAGGGCCACCCCAACCCCCACCACAACTTTATCGGGTGCCTGTCACACAGTTATTGATACACTACTTCCAAGGAAAATGGGTGGGCTCCCTCAGACCTGCCCCAGGTTCTGCGAAGCTCTTCCCCTGCTGTCCTAGAGGAGCACTAGAAATCCTGAGGTGTGAGAGACACCTGGTGTCAGAAAGGGCAAGATTTGCCCTAAACCGCACAGCTCAAACACTTGTGTTTTTCTGATGCACTTGTGAGAGGTGCCAACAGCAAACAGAGCCAAAACAAAGACAATTAACATAGGAACAAATGGGGACCTGGACTCCAACCCAAGGGCAAAAGTCCCTGCCTTGCTGGAAGCCACAAGTTCCTCAGTCCCCTAAGGGGTAGTTCCCCCACCCCAAGGTAGGAACAGGTGGCACTGAGTTCAGAGCTGGTAAAGCCTGCAGCTCCCTCTGCACCTGCCTGTTATCTCTTAGACCAGTGGTCGGCAAACTCATCAGTCAACAGAGCCAAATATCAACAGTACTTCTTCAAAATAGACTCGCCCAGGCAGAAAACCGACTTCTGCACATGGGCCACGAAGTTTCAATCGCACTGTCCATGCGCGCCCACATGTGGTATTTTGTGGAAGAGCCACACTCGAGGGGCCAAAGAGCCACATGTGGCTCGCAAGCCGCAGTTTGCTGACCACGGTCTTAGACTATACATGTCCTGAGCCCTAGTCCCACCTCTGGGTTCCACATGAGAGGGAAGAATCATAGCCCATCTCCATGTAACAAGATCTGTGTACATCACAGGTCACATGGCCCTCAACAAGAGGGGCTAAACCTGCACTCACAAACCTGAAGGATTACAAAAGCAACATGCAAGCTCAAGGATGCTGTAAAATTTCTTTTGTATGAAAGACAACAGAAAAAACCCCTGTAGACTGTTTCTATGTGTCTAAATAGAGCCAGGAGAAAGGTGGAAGGACCCCCCAGACACACTAACATTGGTACCTAGGGTGGGATGGAAGGACAAGGAAATGGCAGCATCCTCTTTGCACTCCTGGGTCATGATACAAGCATGCACACACCCTTTAGAAAACCCAGTAAGTGACCTTTGTAAAAATTACAGAGGAAACAAAGATCAATAAAACTGTTAAGCCTCTAGCCATGCTAAGAAAAAAGAGAAAACAAATTACTAATCACAAAAATGAAATAGGGGACATCACTACAAATCCTACAAACATTAAAAGGATAATAAAGAATTACTATGAACAACTCTATGTTCAAAAATTTGATAACACACACGAAATTAACTAATTATTTAAAAGACACAATCTGCCAAAACTCATACAGGAAGAAACAGACAACACAAACAGGCCTATTTTTATTTTAAAAAGTTGAATCATCCCAGCTGGTGTGGTTCAGTGGTTGAGCATCAACGCATGAACCAGGAGATCACGGTTTGATTCCCGGTCAGGGCACATGCCTGAGTTGCGGGCTTGATCCCCAGTGGGGGGTGTGCAGGAGGCAGTTAATCAATGATTCTCATCATTGATGTTTCTATCTCTTTCTTCCTCTCCCTTCCTCTCTGAAATGAATTTAAAACTTTTTTTAAAAAGTTGAACCAGGGCCCTGACTGGTTTGGCTCAGTGGATAGAGTGTCAGCCTGTGGACTCAAGGGTTCCGGGTTCGATTACAGTCAAGGGCATGTACCTTGGTTGCAGGCACATCCCCAGTGGGGGGTATGCAGGAGGCAGCTGATCATGTTTCTCTCTCATCGATGTTTCTAACTCTCTATCCCTCTTCCTTCCTCTCTGTAAAAAAAAAAAAAAAATCAATAAAATATATTTAAAAAAAAAAAAAGTTGAACCAGGCCTGGCCAGCTTGGCTCAGTGGATAGAGCGTCAGCCTGCGGACTGAAGGGTCCTGGGTTCGATTCCAGTCAAGGGCACATACCCAGGTTGTGGGCTCCATCCCTAGTGGGAGGAATGCAGGAGGCAGCCGATCAATGATTCTCTCTCATCACTGATGTTTCTATCTCTCTCTCCCTCTCCCTTCCTCTCTGAAATCAATAAAAATATATATTTTTTAAAAAATAAATAAAGCTGAACCAGCCCTGGCCAGTGTTGCTAAGTGGTTACAGCACTGGCCTGCAAACCAAAGGGTCACGGGTTTGATTCCTGGTCAAGGGCACATACCTGGTTAGCAGGTTCGATCCCTGGACCTGTGCAAGAGGCAACCAATCGATGTGTCTCTTACATTGATGTTTCTCTCTCCCACTGCCCCTTCCACTCTCTCTAGAAATCAATGGAAAAATATCCTCAGGTGAAGATTAACAAAACAATTGAACCAGTAATTAATAACCTTCTAAAACAGAAAGCACCATGCCCAGGAGTTCACTGATGAATTCTACCAAATATTTAAGGAGGAAATTATACCAATTCTCTACAGTTCCTTTCAGAAAAGAGAAGCAGAAAGAATACTTCCTAATTCATTCAATTACCCTAATACCAAAGCTAGACAAAGACATTACAAGAAAACTACAGACTAACATCTCTCATGAATATAGATGCCAAAATCCTCAACAAAACATTAGCAAACTGAATCTACCAATGTTAAAAACAATTACATACATCACGACCAAGTGGGATTTATGCCAGGCAGGTTTAACATTTGAAAATCAAGTAATGTAATTCATCATATCAATAGGCTAAAAAAATAAAAATCACAAGATCATATCAATAGCTGTAGAAAAAGCATTTGATAAAATACAACACCCATTCATGATAAAAACTCTCAATAAACTAGAATTAGAGGCAAACTTCCTCAACTTGATAAAGAGTATGTATAAAAACACCCACAGCTACCTCATACTTAATGGTGAGAAACTTGGAAACTCCCACTAAGAACAGGAACAAGATAAGAATATCCCATTTTATCAATGCTTTTCAGCACCATACTGGAAGTCCTAACAAATGTAAAAAATGAGAAAAGGAAATAGGTATACTAATTGAGAAGGAAAAAATAAAGTTGTCTTTGTCTGCAAATGACATGATAGTCTACATAAAAACAAAAAAACACAGGAAAAAATAGACACACGCTCTCTCACTCTCTCTCCTGGAACTAATAAGCTATTATATAGCAAGGTTGCAGGGTACAATGTTAATATGCAGATGTCAATCACTTTCTTATAAGCCAGCAATGCATAAGTAAAATTTGAAGTTAAAAACACAATACCATTTACATTATCATTTAAAAACATGAAATACTTAGGTATAAGTCTTACAAAATATGTAAAAGATCTGTATGAATATAATTACAAAACTCTGATTAAAGAATTCAAAGAACTAAATAAATGGAAAGATATTCCATGTTAATGGATAGGGAGACTTCGTATTGTCAAGATGTCAAATCTTCCCAACGTGATTTCTAGATTTAATGACATTCCGATAAAAGTCCCAGCAAAGTTATTTTGTAGATAATGACAAAGTGACTCTAAAGTTTATATTCAGAGAAAAAAGACCCAGAATAGCCAACATAATCTGAAGAACAAAGTTAGAAGACTGACACTACCTAAGTTCAAGGCCTACTGTAAAGCTACAGTAATCAAGGCAGTGTGGTATTGATGAAGGAATGGACAAACTGATCACTAGAACAAAATAAAGGACCCACAATTAGACCCACGTAAACATAGTAAAATGACCTTTCACAAAGGAGCAAAGGCAATACAATGAAGCAAAGACAGTCTTTTCAACAAACAGTGCTAGAACTGGACATTCCATGAAAAAAAATAAAGATCTAGACACAGACCTTACACCCTTCATTCAAAAATTAATTATAAATGGATCACAGACCTAAATGTAAAATTCAAAAATATAAAATTCCTAGAAAATAATATAGAAGAAAACCTAGATACCTTGGGTATGGCAATGACATTTTAGATACAATACCAAAGACACAATCCAAGAAAAAGAAACTGATAAGCTGGACTTCATTAACATTAAAAACTTCTGCTCTGTGAAAGACAAGGTCAAGCAAATGAGAACACAAGCCGTAGACTGGAAGAAAATAACAAAATATACCATTCTATCCAGCAATCACAGTCCTTAGTATTTATCCTAAAGAGATGAGATACTTTGTCCACACAAAACCCTGCCCAAAGATGTTTATAGTAGCTTTCTTCATAATTGCTCAAACTTGGAAGCAACCAAGATGTCCTACAGTGGATAAACTGGTGCACCCAAAGAAATGAGCTATGAAGCCATGAAAAGACATGGAGGAAACTTAAATGCACATCGCTAAGTGAAAGAAGCCAATCTGAAAAAGCTACATCCTATATGATTCCAATTGTATGACATTCTGGAAAAAGCAAAATTGCCAAATCAGTGAAAAGATCAGTGGTTGTCAGGGATTAGGGAGGAAGTAAGGATGAATAATTGGAACATAATCGATTTTAGATCACTCCTGATAGAAGTGATCCTCTCTCCCTCCTCCTTAACCAAAGCTAACACTTTTTTTTTTATCCAGTCTTTTTTTTAATCCAGTGCAGATTTATTTGAACAGAGCTGTGGTTCTAATTTCTGTATGCTGATTTTTTAAAAAAACCTTTAACCCAACAACGTAAGGCTTTCTCATTAGAATGCAGTGGAATGTGGCAGCAAAGGCACTTCCACTGATTGGCCTTCTTGCCTCAGTTTCCTCACCTGTGAAAGGCCAGCACACTTGTAAACAAGGTGGCTCACACAAGTGATGTGTCAGAGATGCAGTTACAGGAGTTTAGCCCACTGGGACTGGACATTCAATGTGTTATTAATTTCTCATGACTATGGATGATGCTATATTTAAGATTATTTGGGAGATGGCATTCAGAAGTGGGATGACTGGTCAAAGGAATAGGTAAACAGTTATAACATTGTTTTCCAAGACACACAACTGCTGGGGTGTGCCCGGCCCATGGGGGTAATCAGGAAGGCACAGAAGGGCCAGAGCAGCAAGTACACTAGGCGGCTGTTTGATTTGGGGGAGAGAAGAGCTGTCTCACACCTAACCCCACATGAAGATCAAACAGTCGGTGTGGAATGAACCTGTACACCCTGACCAGGCCCGAAAACCCAATCATCTCCCATTCATTCCTCCTCAGTGCGTGGAGTGCCAGCTGTGGTCCCTCAGCAGCTCACCTTCAGCCACTTCTCCCCAGGGTCCATTCTCATCCTAGGCACTCCCCCACAGCTATCCTCGACCCCTCAGCAGCCCTCCGCAAACCTTCTCTGCCTCAACCCTCAGCCTGGAATGATTGATCACCCTCTATGATTGTGGTCAGTGATCCTGGAAGCACGGTTAGCCCCATCACTCCCTATGCAGACCCTCCAAAGACTCCCAATGAACACCTGAGCCTCCTGGGACCTGGCCCTGACGGGCTCCACAGCTTGTCTGCACGGAATATCAACGCTCACCCTGCACTCCAGCCGCACTGGCACAGTGCCCGGCATATCAACTGCTTCACTCCCGTGTAGTGGTCCTTCTGGACACCCTCCTCCTGCCTACCACCCACTCTTGCTTCCTTCCTCCTGAGTGCCTGATGGTGTCTCTGAATCAACCAGCCCAGGTGCCTGCTGCTCCTGCACTTTTTGTTAGAGTCACCATCACATCTCCTCACTTGACTGGGTGAGGACTTGTGGCCAAAAGTGTCCTCACAGATGCATCACCCCATGCTGGATTCAGTGTCCACCTCACCAGCCTCTGCCAGTACCACCCTGCAACAGCAACTGCGCCCCCACCCCAAACTCCCCTGGCAAAGATGAGGTGCTAAACCCCACCAATGAATGAGTGAGTGGGTTAACAGACCTAGCCTGAAGGGCTGGGGTGTGACTTCATGGCTGGGGACAGTAGGGGGGTCAGGATGCTTGTCCCATCCTGTCCATGGAACCTGCACACAGGCTAGGGACTCCCACTCCTCAGAGCCTGAGGTACCACACTCCTGCTTTCTTGCTGTTCCCCTCGTTGTAAAAATGAGACCCTAAGAATACACACAATGAGCAAAACAGTTTTGTGAGGTTCTGCTAGAGGGCCTGGCCTGGCCCCACCTTGGGGCCACTGTCTCTGTTACAAAGGGAGCCGGGCAAGTGCTAGAGACTTTCTCAATGAGGTACCTGGAAAAACACAAGAGCTCAAAGTCCCTGCCACACCTGCCTCAGAGACAAATCCAGGCAGTGGTGTGCACTTGGGGAGTAGACACATGGTGGCAAGGCTGGGCTCTGGGGCCAGAAATTCCTAGAACTGAGTCCCGGCCCTGCCAGCTTCTCGCCACGGACTCTGGCCTGTCTTAGGACCACCAAGCCTGTGACCAGGCTGAGGGGTCAACTCTCTGGTGGGTCCCTCCTTACCTGAATGCCTGGTTCTCACGATTGTTTTGGAGGGCGATGGTTTCCACCTCAGGACCCCCATCCGCTATGAACCTGGCCAACTTTTCTGCAAGGTTCTTGACCTCTTCGTCCTCTGGGGGTGAAACTTTAAGCAGGCTGTCAGTACTGAGCTCAACTCACCACACCCAACAGCCTAATTTCTGCTAAAAACCCCATGGGCAACAAGAGGGGTTTATTTTAGAAACAATGCAAAGAGAAACAGGCAAATGGGAATCAGATTATTACACTGAGACCAAACAGTTAATACTACAACTTATTCTGAGCCCTGCTCCCTACCCCTTCCCACCCATAGGTCTTGGGGGGCCTGGGACATGGCAGCATAATATAAGGGAAGGTGTGTGTCAGACCCAGAGGGAAGACAGGAGCCCCCACCTTGGTCTTTCTATAGGGGGCTGCCCAGCCAGGTCACATGGGGAGATGAGCGTGGCCCTCCTCCTGGGGAGGTCAGTGCAAAGGCAAAGGGCCGTAGGAGACACGACAGACCAACCTCTGTGGCCCATGTCAGGTCTAAACATCAATTCCTCTCACCCACCAGCACTAGCTGGGATACTCATTAAAGCTGGAGACCATCCAGCCTCTTCCCCATCCACTGACACTCATCCCATCAGATCTCACCAGATGATTGTTTCTGCCCCCTCGGCCCCACTCCTAAGTGTCAGACACTACATTTGTTTCTAGGGTTGGTAGGCATTCATTAACACTTGTTAAAATAGGCTAGCACAGCGGTCGCCAACCTTTTGGACCGCACAGACCACCAGTGGTCCATGGACCACCAGTTGACGACCGCTGGGCTAGCACACCTTCCCTCTGTCTCTTTTGCATGTATAGGGCTGAGCTCCTGAATACAACCTTGACCTTGGTCCTCAGACCTCCCCCCCTCTTCAGAGCACTGGTGAAAAGGGTGGCACTAGCCCTAGCTTGACCCTGGCTGCCAGGGAGGGCACAAACCAAGGACATCAGCGCTACCCCATGCATGGCACCCTCTAGGAACCCTGATTTCACCTGGGGAGCAATTTGTCCACGCACCTCCCCAGAACCTCCCACCCCCTTCTACCCACCTACCTTTCTGAGAGGTTGTCTGCAACTTCTGTGATTCCTTCCTTATCTCAGCCACCTTCTTTCTGTAGTAGAGGAATTCCCTGCTATTCTTATCATGCAGAAACCTGAAGAAGTGTTTTTGCAAAACAGAAAGGAAGATGAGTAACGAGGACGGGTAGACTTGTGCAGGATCTGAAGACAAGTTATGCAAAAGCAAGCTGACAAGCACAGATGCCTTGACAGAGCCCAAAATTAAGTCTCCGCATCACATTAGAGACTTTTTGCAACCTTTGGTGTAAGTTATAAAGTGCTTGGAACAGCATCTGGCCCACACAAGCAAGCACCCAGCCCCAGCCAGCCTCAGTCACCACAAGAATTTTACAAAAATGTCTGCATATACTACTGTGTGGCAAGAACATTAAGTACCAGTGACCTTCCCCTCCCAAAAATACTTACGAAAACGCTGGGTTATCCTTGTAGTTCTCCATAGCTACTTTTTCTAACTCGGGGCCTCCTTCTGCCACAAAGCGGGCCAATTTCTCTATCACTTTCCGAGTCTCGACTCCCTCTGGGGGTGAAACTTTAAGGAGGCTGTCAGTACTGGGGTTCAACTCACACACCCCACAGTCAACAGGCACACTCTCTCTACGGACCACAAGGACAAAGGGGTAGGGGAAGAAGAGGGTGAAATGCAGGAGGTTGTCAGGCGTCCCGGGTCCATGCACAAAGCACCGTGACGAGAGGGGAGTTGGTCTAAACAGTTTTCACGAGACACACTGGGTGGGAGAGAAGTGTGCGACCCTCTCAGAGGCTGAGCCGATCCACAGGCTGGAAGGGAGACGTTTGAAAACATAGCCAGCCTCCCCCCACCCCCGCCCTTTTTTAAAATGCTTAAGTCTTTTCTTTATTTACCAGCATTAAGTATAATAAATTGGTCCCCTTCCATCCTTCAAAGATGAAAAATTCTTTTAAAATAGCATTACAAACTCTGATTTAAACACATTGGGTGGGTTTCAATCCACTGCAATTAATGTCATCATAGAGGCTCACTCGTCCCCCGTGTGGCTGGTGGAGCCTCTTCAAGCTGGGTACTGAGGCCTTTGGACATGGCCCCGGTGTCTTGATGGCCTCCTCACTATCTGCTGGAACAGGGTGCTCCAGGTCATCTGATACACTTCCTGCCCAGACCTAGAGCCAGCCATTCTTCCAAGAAGTCCTGGTTTTCGTGAGTGAGAAAATGTTTCCAGACCACCATCTGGGTGCTAAGGATGCTCACTGCAATGAGCTTAATCATTACCTCGGCTTTTTCAGGGAACAGAGGTATAAAAATACATTTTTGTGTTTGCATTAGCCTCCCCTTTGAGCCATGTGGAACGTGCTTTTTCCTTTTTGCTGGACTTTTTTGGAGGGCATCTGTCAGCCAATACATTCCTATTCCCTTTATGAGAACTCCCAAGAGAAAGTTCTCGCTGTCAGTCAGTGCCTAGGAACCTTTGCTCCTCTCGGCAATGGGGCTAGACACTGAGCCTGTGGCCAATCTTGTTCCTCTTGTTGCTTGGGCTGCCAAGAAGCTGGGGGTAGGGGAAGAAACATGTGATCGCACCCTCCTCCTGCATACCTGACGATGACCCTGACCTGGCTGCCATTTACAAGCACAGGTGCTCTTCTGAGGCCTCCTCAACTGCAGGTCTTAACAGACCTCAAGGGCCTTGAGACACCCACTGCCTCTTGTAAAGCGGAGGTTCATGGCAGGGTACAGTCAGAACTGCCAGGGCACCTCTCGAAGGAAACACCATCCTCTCAGGCTCTGTACTAATGTTCCAGACTTCAAGGTTCGCCACTGATCTGCTCAGATGTACGGTCTGGCATCCTCATCCCAGAGCCAGAGGAGTTTAGAGGCTGTTATGGCAGACCATACAGTCACTTCAGTCTGTACTCAGTCAGGATAACATGACTGAGCCAGCCAGCCTGGGCAGAAGTAGCCTAAGACTCCAAATGGCTCAGGTGGCACTGAAGCCTTGTTCTGAATATAGACAGGGCTAGAAGTATTAGAAGTGCCACCACTGCCACGCTCTGCCCTCCTACACCTTGGGGCCTAGACTAACTCACCCAAGGCCAAAAACTGTCCTTCCCCAGGCAAAAAAATGAACTCTTCAACCTGCAGGCTCGTACCTCTGGCTCAGACTGGCAGGGACAGGAACTGCATTAAGAAATGGGCTTCTGGGCCTCAGAGGGCTCGGAGGGCATGCACCCAGATTTGGGAGCCATGGAAGGTCCTCCTCATGTTGGGAGGAAAGTGCAAGTGAACACTCAATGAGGATACCCCTGCCTTGGCTGGAGGCCAGGCCCCAGAGTAGATGATGGGTCCCACAGCTCCCAGGATGAAGCCCACACTGCAGCCCCTCCTCACACCCTTCCTTTAACTGCACCCCCTCACCCCAGTGGCCTCACCTGACTGAAGTCCCAAGTACCCCATTCTCCTGGCCAGGCTTTCCCTGCTGACTGTGGATCTGCCCCGGAGCTGGAAGGCGGTGGTAGAAGGAGGGCAGCAGCCCCCGCACCTTACCTTTGATCTCCAGCCACTGCTCATAGTCTTCCTCTTCATCCTCATCGGGAGATTGGAAGACACTAGGGCGGCTGGCCAGGGGCAGCTGCTTAGCGTGCACATAGTTCTTCACCTGGTTCACTGGGCTGCTGATGAGGGGAGGCCTCTTCCCAGCACGGGGGAGTACTCGAGGTGGGGCGCTGGGCACGCTGGGGGGAGCATCTTGGGAGAGAAGGACATATACTTGTGCTCAAGCTCTGCAGTTCACCTTTCCCTATCTTCCCACCTAATCTGAGTGCTGTCAGTCGCTGGGGGCTGGGGTCCTCAGCTTCCAGCACAGCACCTGGTGGGTGGTGGGTGCTCAGAGAAGACACCACCCCATTTTACAGATGAGGACATCAAGGTTCACAGATACATTATCTAGATATGACCTGAATCCCACATCCAACTTACAACCATTCCCTCTGGTTGTCAGTGGTAAGCTGGAGCAAGCCTATTCTGGGCTTTTCAAACACAGCTCATAACCCGTGACCCTGCGATAAAGACGAGCCTGTTCTTCCTCTCCTTGGGTGAATTTGGCCTAAACTTTTTTTCAGCTGTTACCTAGGAAACCTGACAAAGGTCAAAGGTCATCTGTTTCACCATTAACTTCCTTATATTTTATTTTTTACCATTAAGTTTTTTAAAGTAAAAATAAGCTCTGACTGGTAAATTGCACAACCACAGTTATGGGTGGGCTCCCCAAGGGCTCACACCTGGCATGTCTCATGGATTCCTATGAAAGGGGGCCCCATTCCTCACACTTGAGCTGCTGCTCTGACCACAGCCATGGTCTCACAGCCCTGGGCCTGCTTAGTCCTGGTCCCCATGCTCCTGGACTGAAACCTGGGTTGTCTCTGCTCCTACAAGGTAAGCATCTTGAGAGCAGGTTCCATGCTTTCTCCCTGGGTGTTTAGTGTGGAAATGAGTGAAATGAGGGAGCTCAATAAACTCGGGATGAGAAGAACAAATCTGAGGCAGGACCTGCCACTTCTAGGAAGTCAGGGATCCCCGGGAGGAGAGAGCAGGCAGCATGAACATGAGCCTGAGCCTGAATAGGAGGAGATGGGATGGGGAAACTGCACTTACCTGTGCTAGTCTGCGCCTTCTGCAACTTCAGAAACTGCTGCAAGAAGCTGCCGTCATTGGCAAACTTGTTGGAAGCGGAAGAGTTGTGTGTGTTTGCAATTCTAGACCCAAGACAGAATATAGAGAGGGTGAACTTCTAATGGAGGGGCTGGGGCATGCCTTGCCTGTCTCGGCTCCACACCCACCCAAGTTCTTACCTGGTGAAACCCAAAACCCACCCCCAGATGTGCCTTGGGGACTGCTGAGTGCAGAGAGCTACCTTCAGCGTTGTAAGGTGGGAACAATCTTGTTCTAGTCAAAGCAATGCTACACATATTGATGTCAACTCTATCGGACTATTGACCCTCCCACTCCAAATAGCCTCCTCAACTCAGAACCACTGGCTCTCTTCCCGCACCAACTCCTATCCTACCTGGTGTAAACAAATTATCTGAGCTGCTACTGGGTACCACGTCTGTCTTCTCAGCTAGACTTTATAATTATCCAAAACAGCGCATGTGTATGTTTTTACTGTGTGTGACTGCATTTCTGGGCCTGGATCGGCCAGCACTTCTGTGAGGATTACACACATACAGGAAAACACCCAAAGCAATCTCTTGGTGCGAGAATTACAGGGGGATTATATATTTTTATTTTCTCTCTTTTTTTGCAAATAGTATGTTTTACTTAAACGAATTTTTTTTAATCTTTTATTTTTTAAAAAAATCTGTTTTAATTGATTTTTAGAGAGAGAGGAAGTAAGAGAGATAGAGAAATAGAAACATCAATGTGAGAGAAACATCAATTGGCTGCCTCCTGTAGGTCACCCACCAGGGATTGACCAACCCGGGCATGTGCCCTGATTGGGAATTGAACCAGAGATTCACAATCAAACTGGAGATTCACAAACTGGCAACTTCTTGCTTCCTGGATCGATGCTCAACTGCTGAGCCACACTGGCTGGGCTTAAATCTGTTTTTAAAAAATTCGCACAAGCCCAGCCAGTGTTGATCAGTGGTTGAGCATTGGACCATGCTCCAAGAGGTCGCCAGTTCAATTCAGGGTCAGGGCACATGCCTGGGTCGCTGGCTCGATCCCCAGCAGGAGGCATGCAGGAGGCAGCCAATTAATGCTGATGTTTCTCTTTCATCCATGTTTCTGACTCTCTCTCCATCTCCCTTCCTCTCTCTCTAGAAAAATAAATAAAAACATATTTTTTTAAAATATATAAAAATCAGTACAAAAGCAAAACCAAGGGCCTGAATGCTTAATTCAAATTCATTTTTCCCTATCATAAAAGTATTAGAGCTCATTATAAACAAACAAGAATGTAGAAAAATTAAAATATAGAAAGCAGCCGAAACCGGTTTGGCTCAGTGGATAGAGCGTCGGCCTGCGGACTGAAAGGTCCCGAGTTTGATTCCAGTCAAGGGCATGTACCTGGGTTGCGGGCACAGCCCCAGTGGGAGATGTGCAGGAGGCAGCTGATCGATGTTTCTCTCTCATCGATGTTTCTGACTCTCTATCTCTCTCCCTTCCTCTCTGTAAAAAATCAATAAAATATATTTAATAAATAAATAAATAAAATATAGAAAGCAAAGAGGAAAACTCAATTCCTTCCACTTCACAATAGCTACTATTAACACTTTGGTATATATTTTTTATTTGCCCCTAAGTTAGAAATAGAAGGAAATAAGGCTGTGATCATAGAACGTGCCCTCCTTCTTCCATTCTCTATTGTAACATACATCCTGTACCAACCTCAAAAATTCCTTATATATAGTGTTTCTAAAAGCCGAGTAACAATCCATCATACAGATACATCAATAATTAGTAAAAGCTCAGGGAACTCACAGATCTAGACTTTTTCCTTTAAAATTAAGTGTTACTAGAAATCTGTTTTAATGAACTAAAAATGGAAATAACCTAAGTAGTCAACAAGGGACACTGGTTAAATAAATTATGGGCCCTGGCCGGCATGGCTCAGTGGTTACAGTGTTGGCCCATGCACTGAAGAGTCACAGGTTTCCTTCCCCGTCAAGAGCATGTACCTGGGTTGCAGGTTCCATCCTGTCTCAATTGGGCATGTGCAGGAGGCGGCCAATCAATGTTTTTCTCTCTCTCTACCCCTTCTTTCCCTCCCTCCCTTCCACTTTCTCTAAAGATCAATAGCAAAAACATCCTTGGGTGAGGATTAACAGTAACAACAACAAAAAAGTAATGAAGCCCTCACACACACACTACAAAGTGGTGAACCCTGAAAGCATTACGTCTAGGTAAGAGAAGCCAGACACAAAAGTTCACCTATCATATAAAATATCTAGAATATGTATATCCATGAAGACAGAAACTAGATTAGTGGTTGCCAGAGGCTTGGGAAGGAAGAATGGGGAGTGATGGCTACTGGGTATGAGGTTTCTTTCTGAATGATAAAATGTTTTGCAATTAGATAATGGTGATAGTTGCACAGTGCTGTGAATATACTAAAAATCATTAAATCATACAGTTTAAAAGTTCAATGTTACAGCATGTAAATTATATCTCAGAAAGAATAAAACTTAAAAACTGATGGTTCTAAAGAGTTGTGATTTGGGGAGAAGTTTTTCTTTTAAAAAGTGTGTGTGGGGGGGTGCCGGAAGCCGGTCCATCCTTGCTGCTTGACACAGTCACTGCAGGAAAGAAACATCTGCACAGCATATGTTTCAAGGGACCTGGCGTATATGGCATACTGTTCTTAATATGTTTGCTCCCCTTAGCGCTATGTGTTTTAACCAAGGTCACCTCTCTGAGAAAGGTTGTTTCCCCAGGTGGGGATTTTTCCCTGAGGTTAGGGATGGGATACAACCCCTTAACTAAGTGCCAGGTGGGTAGTTAATCACTTTAACTACAAACAATCACGCTTAAGCTACATAATCTTTACTCCCTGGAATGGAGATAAGAAACGCCCTAACCTTTGCAATAGAAATTGACAGGATTAAAATCGACTGGTATAAATACAGATGTAACAAGACAATAAACATCAGATCCTGATCAGATCCTGACCAGAACTTGGCTGGAGATCCCGACCAGAACTTTGGCTGGAGATCCTGGCTAGAGGTCCTGACTAGGCTGCTGATCAACTGAAGGCTGTCTCCGTGTCATTCCTTCTTCGCTGACTCCGTCCACACCTTTGGGGACCCCTGGACCTGCTGGGGTTGGACCCCAACATGGGGGGGGGTGTCCCTGGCTGGGTGGCTCTGTTGGTTAGAACGTTGTCCCATACTCCATAAGGTTTCAGGTTTGATTTCCAGTCAGGGCACATAGTTAGGCTGCCGGGCTGATGCAGTAGTGGTGAGTACGGGAGGCGAACGATCAATATGGGTTTCTCTCTCTCCTCTCTTTCTCAAATCAATAAAAACATATCCTCAGGTGAGGATTTAAAAAAAAGTGCCGGGGAGGCCTGGCCAGGTAGCTCAATCCCTGGTCAGGGCACATACAAGAATCAAGTAATGAATGTATAAATAAGTAGAACAACAAATCGATGTTTCTCTCTCACCCTTCCTCTCTTTCTCAAGTTAATCAATAATTTTTTTTTTTTTTAAATAGTGAGGCAGGGAAAGCAGCACATAAATTTGATCACAACTTCATAAAACAAAGCAAAGATGTGGGAAATATTATCAAAATGGTTGTCTTGAGGCAATTTGAGTATTTCTTATTCCTTCAGCAAGAAATTTAAATGTTGGTGTTCTATGCTTTTATTTGCATAGCTACCTGTACTGTACACCCACCCACCTGATGTTTCCTTTCAGCTGCCTGATCCTGGAGCTGTGATCCAACAGCCTCCAGAAGACCCTCTTGGATGTGATACAACAAGGGCTTTCCCATCTTGGTAAAAGTCCTTCCATAAACTCCAGGGTGAGAACCCACCCACTGACAGATCTCTCAACATCCAGTCCCCATGTTCCTGGGTGCCCTGGAGGTACCAGACCCTGGGTTCCCACAGGAATAAGGTCTAAAATCCTACCCTTAAGGAGAAGCCACAGACGCTTAGAAAAGGTGGGAGCTGGGACAAAACTTTGTGGAGGGTTAACAGGTTCACACTTCAGACCACGTAGGAAGGGGGCTGCCTCTGACTGTCAACCTCTTATCTGAAATTTTTGGATTTTGTCACACTGATCACACACCCCTGCTCAAAACTCTTGGGTGCCCACAGTGTTTCTCAGGACAGGCAGAAGACAACCGGCCTGAGCTACCTCCTGCCTGACACATGGGAGGCTCTCTCTTCTTCTTGCCTTCTGCCGACAGGCCTTTCCCTACTTCCTCAATGGGCTGGCTCTGCCTGGGTCTTTAGTTCACAAAGTCTTGCCCAGCTGATGTGGTTCACTGGTTCAATTCCCAGTCAGGGCACATGCCCAGGTTGTGGACTCAAACCCCAATAGGGAGCGTGCAGGGGCAGGCGATCAATGTTCAATGTTTCTCTCTCATCAATGTTTCTCTCTCTCTATCCTTCTCCCTTCCTCTCTCTCTAAAAATCAACAAATATGTGTGTATATATATATATATATATATACACACACACACACACACACACACACACACACAGAATGCAAAGTCTCTTCTGCACTCCTACAGTGGGAACACACTGCCTCCTGTTACCCACTGGCAACTCTGGTATCCTCAGGTGAGGATTTAAAAAAAAAAAGTGCTGGAAAAGCAGCACACAAAATTGATCACAACTTCGTAAAACAAAGCAAAGATGTGGGAAAGGAATTATTATCAAAATGGTTGTCTTGAGACAATTTGAGTATTTCTTATTCCTTCATCAAGAAATTTTAAATGTTGGTGCTTTATGCTTTTATTTGCATAGCTACCTGTACTATACACCCACCCACCTGATGTGAGCCCCATAAGAGCAGAGACAAGTCTGGGTTTTTTGCTCTGTGCTATACCTCTGACCCCTGGCCCACAGGTCGTCAGCAGTAAATAACTGCTGAGTGAAAGAACTGGCAGGCCATCCACTGGGTTTCCACACACCCCTTGTGTCTCTCCTAACATACTAAGCCGCCTGAAAGAGAGCAGTTGTGTCACTCCTTGCACCATCAGGCTGTGACCGGGTGCAGATATAACACGACTGCTCTTATAAACAAAACCCTCTGCCCGTGACCCTCTAAGACCCAGTCCAGCCTCAGAGTGCACTTACTCGCCAGGATGCGGGGGCTGAGGGCTGGACACCTGATTCTGCTTGGCTTTCTGCTCCATTCTGGCTTCAATTTCCCGTTTCTTCTGAGCAATGAGTTCTTCCTGATGAAGGATGTTCATGTTCATTTTTCCAGACTTGGGAGGAGCAACCCCAAACCACCGGTTAGCCTTTCCTGGGGAGGGAAGAGAAACACATCAGAAATCATCTTTGCGTCACACACATGCCCGGCAGCTGCTACAGGAGCGCCGCAGTTGCTGCTACTTGTAGCAACGGACATTCAAATTGACATTCATACATATCCACTCGTTCATTTATTCAGCAAACATTTACCGAGCTATATACCAGGTGCTGTGCTAAGTGCTAAACCAGAGAGACAAGGTCTCTGCCTATGTGGAACTCAGGTCTGGCTAGGGAGACAATAAACTTGTAACAAAAAAAGTAGCTGCAAAATCATGGTAAGAGCTCTATGCTGGGAACCAAAAAGGATGAGAAGGCATGACAGAGGAGCATCTATTGCTAGAGCAGCCAGAAAATAACCATTTGAAGAGGAAGCAGTTAAGCTGAAACCATAAAGAGCTTCCGAAAAAGCCACATAGGGAACAACCTGGGCAGAGTAAGGTGCAGATGCAAAAACTAAAAGTTGGATAAAGCTTGGTGCATTCAGGGACCAGCAAGGGTCCAATGTGGCTTGAGCAAGTTGTTCCAGGAATGAGAGTATAAGAAAGGGAGTCTAGATTTTACTTTAAAGTCTTTGGAAAGTGTCAGGGAGTATTAAGTTGACAATATCCAATAGGAATTTTTATTTTTAAAATCATTCTGGCCAAGGCCGGTTTGGCTCAGTGGATAGAGCGTCGGCCTGCGGACTGAGGGGTCCCGGGTTCGATTCCGGTCAAGGGCATGTACCTGGGTTGCGGGCACATCCCCAGTAGGGAGATGTGCAGGAGGCAGCTGATCGATGTTTCTCTCTCACCAATGTTTCTAACTCTCTGTCTCTCTCTCTCTCTTCCGTTCTGTGGAAAATCAATAAAATATATTTGAAAAAAAAAATCATTCTGGCTACTACTTGGAGAGAGTGTGTAGGCAGCAAACAGACCAACAAGGAGGCTTTCTGGCTCCAAGCAAAAGATGATGTTGTCTTCAGACATGGGCATTGGCTGTGGAGATGGAGGAGACACCTCTAAATTTCCCCATGGGATTCAGAATAAAATCCAAATTCTGAAAGTCAATTTTCAAGGCCCTGCCAGAGATGGCCCCCCCTTCCCCATCCTTGACTTTCTTCAAAATGGCAAGTCAGTCCCTCCAAGGCCTTTGCACTTGCCACCCCCCCTACCCGCCTTGGTGTGGAAGGCTCTGCCCCCCAGGCCTCCTTCTCATCTAAAATGTCTTCTACTCAATAAGGCTTTCTTTGGTCACCCAATATCACCAGCCTCCAGCCCCACTCATAACTCTCTTTGCATAAATAGTTCCTCTTGGTGCATGTCTGACACCCATTAGAAAGTGATCTTCAGGAAGGCAGGGCCCTGTTTTGATTACCACTGCACCCCCAGCGACCAGCACAGTGCCTGGCACACAGTATTTGCTGAATGGGTGGGTGAGTGTACCCATTCTGGGTGGCTAGGGCTGGAGGAGATGGAAGGGCAAGGCTTGTAGTCAAGTGGAGGCTCGAAAGACTCGGGAATTTATGTATCCAGGACATGTCTGAGAGCAGTTCAGAAAAACAGCTTTTCCAGAAAGCAGCACACAGGCCAAGAGGCAGCCGCTGCGAAGAGAAGCGCAGGACAGCCCAAGGTTGCCGCTGTTTTGGGGAGCGGAGCTCGGAAGAGCCCTGAAGGTGGTTATTTTTCGGAAAGCCGACGCAAGACAGACCCGGTGTCTGCCTTTACGGAAGCCAAGCGCCCTCAGCAAACCAGGCCCAGGGTGGGGGACAGCAACTGGGTCTGAGACCTCGTCAGGCGGGGGAGGTGCAGAACCCGTCGCTTCGGGCCGCCCAGAGGCTGAGGGGGAGGACCGGCGGGTTGGGGCAGACTCGGTCAGAGGACGAAGCGGAGACGCGAAGCTCGGAGGACGCAGACGGGAGCATGAAAGGAGGAGGGGGCTGTTACCTGCAACATCCCGGTTGTCCATCTTGAGACTCATCCAATCCCACAATGCTCCGGCGCCACCTGAGGAGGCATGTTATACTGCGCATGGCCCAATGGGAGATGTAGTCCTCATTGGCCAGCCACGCCCTGCCACTGCGGGGACACCTGGGACCTTTCTCGCAGGAGCGCAAACCTCGGCCTCTCTGCAAGGTCTGGTCTCAGTCCCACAGACCAGAAGGCGTCGTCTTTTTTCTCACTTACCGGGAGTCGCAGCCACTCCAAATTATAAACTACATGTTCCAGGATGCTTTGTGCGGCAGCTATCGCGAGGGACGCGAAGAGTGCCGGGCCCCGCCCCGTACGCCTGCTTCCGCCTCCCTGTGGTGACGGCTTGTTGTTGTGGAGGCCAAAATGGCGGCTCAGGCGGCGGCAGCGGCCCAGGCGGCCGCGGCCCAGGCGGCGCAGGCCGAAGCGGCCGAGTCATGGTACCTGGCACTTTTGGGCTTCGCCGAGCACTTCCGCACATCCAGCCCGCCCAAGATCCGCCTGTGTGTGCACTGCCTGCAAGCGGTGTTCCCCTTCAAGCCGCCTCAGCGCATCGAGGCCCGCACGCACCTGCAGCTCGGCTCCGTGCTCTACCACCATACCAAGAACAGCGAACAGGCGCGCAGCCACCTGGAGAAAGCGGTGAGCGCGGGCCGAACCGCGAGGGAGGAGCGCGGGCTCCTTGCGGGGCCTGAACTGACGGGCTGCGACCACAGCAGGCGAGGGCCGCCCGGACCGCTCCTCGGGGACCTGGGGTGCGACTTCCCGCCTGGGACGCAGGACCCCTAAGCCGCCACCCTCGCGGGGGGCGTTATTTAACCTCTCTAGTGACAGACAGGGTCCAGGGCCCTGCTCTTCTGAGGAGCCGCAGGGTCCCCAAATTCGTTAGGTTTTCCGGAGTAGACATGCTGGCGCCTTTGGAGACGTCCCCAGATTGCCGGGGAGTCCTGCAGCTTCCAGCTTCTCAGGGCTCAGCCCCAGCATCAGCCTGAGCGCGCCCTCCCGAAGCGGCTCGGGACAGTGCAGGGCCGAGGTGACAGGCCAGGCGCCCCTCGGGAATCTGATGTTTGGTCTCGGAAAACCCAGGAAAGCATTCTCTCCCGGGACCCGGAAGTCTGATGAGTGTCTAGTGCAGTGGTTCTCAACCTTTCTAATGCCGCGACCCTTTAATACAGTTCCTCATGTTGTGGTGACCCCCAACCATAAAATTATTTTCGCTGCTACTTCATAACTGTAATTTTGCTACTGTTATGAATCGTCATGTAAATATCTAATATGCAGGATGTATTTTCATTGTTACAAATTGAACCTAATTAAAGCATAGTGGTTAATCACAAAAACAATATGTAATTATATATGTGTTTTCTGATGGTCTTAGGCGACCCCTGTGAAAGGGTCGTTCGACCCCCAAAGGGGTCGCGACCCACAGGTTGAGAACCGCTGGTCTAGAGGGTATTGTGCCCCCGTTAGTGATTCGAGGAGTCATGGGTGGGAAGCAGAGGCCCAGAGCCTAGAATTAGTTGTTTGAAGTCCTAGAAGGAGGCGGACGGAGTTGGGTAGGGGGGCTGGATTCTAGAACCAGTTTGCTCAGTGGTGGGGGTGGGGGAAAGGGCGTTCCTAGCTTTGCCTTCTCAGTATTCACCTGGTGACTTCTCTTCCTCCCACCATCCCCTTCAGAGGCAGGCCTCACCCCCGCCCCCCATCTTTTTGTTGTTGTTAATCCTTGCCCGAGGATATTTCCCCCCTCGATTTTTAGAGAGAATGGAAGGGGCGGGGCGGGACACAAAGATGGGTTGCCTCCTGCACTCGCTGGACTGTGGCTGGGATGGAACCTGCAACCCAGGTATGTGCCCTTGACAGGGATTCCAACTCGGGACCTTTCCTAATGCAAGCTGAAGCTCTACTAACTGAGCCACACTGGCCAGGGCGATGCCCTCCCATCTTGACTCGTGAGAGACCTTGGTGCCTCAAAGAATCTGGCTGTGACTTCATTTGCCATTTACTCTTTTATTCTGATTGAAGGAGAGACTTCTTGCCTGGTCAGTGTGGCTCAATGGTTGAGCGTGGACCAGGAGGTCATGGTTTGATTCCTGGTCAGGGCACATGCCGGGGTTGCAGGTTCAAACCCCAGTAGGGGGCGTGCAGGAGGCAGCTGATCAGGGATTCTCTCTCATCATTGATGTTTCTCTCTCTCTCTCCCTCTCCCTTTCTCTCTGAAATATATATATGTTTGTTTTTAAAAGGAGACTTCTTTGCAAGAAGGAATCAACTTAGATTTTTAAAAATGTATTGATCTGAGGTAAATCTGAACCACCAGAGGCAAAAGTAACAAGTTGCTTTAGGGAGGATACCAGATCTTTGTTTTACTCAGTTGGTTGATCATAATCCCTTGCACCAAAAGGTGGATGGTTTGATTCTCAGTCAGGGCACATGCCTGGGTTTCAGGCTTGATCTCCAAGAGGGGATCTCTCTCTCTCTCAAATTAATAAAAACATGAAGAAGAAAAGAATCGGAAGGGGACTTTAGTCCTTGCTTGATCAACTTCCTTGTTTCAAGAGCGAGGTGGTAAGGGCCCAGAGAGGTAAAGTGATTGGCCAAAGCCACATGTCAGGTTATTAACAAAGTTGGGTTCAGACCTCGGCTCCAGATCACCAGGTTCCATGCCAAGGCAATAAATTGTTACTGTTTTTGTGAAGTTCTATTCCCAGTTATTTGGCACTTAGTTATTCAGCTCACACCAGGTGCCAAGCCCCCTTCTAGGTGCTAGGGATCAGCAATAACTAAAGCAGTGCCTGCCCACATAAGTTTATGTTTTAGTGAGGGAGACAAATACTGAATATGTAGTAAGAGGTTAGGCAGTGATGAAAGAATCATGAAAAATATGGGCCACGGAGAAAAGATGGAGTTGACAAGGAGCTTTTTTTTTTTATTGATTTTTGTAGAGAGAGAGAGAGATCAATTTGTTATTCCACTTATTTATGTATTCATTGGTTAGTTCTTGTATGTGCCCTGACTCTTGTATGTGTCCTGACTGGGGATCGAACCCGCACCCTTGATGTATGGGACGACGCTCTAACCAACTGAGCTATCCCGCCAGGGCTAAGCCCTTATCCTTGGGAAGTAGTTTCCCTGGATTTTACAGAACCCTGAATCTTGTGGGATCTTTCACAGAGACTCAAGGTCCACTCTGTAGCTCACACTGACATTATACCTGGAAATCCCTTTCTTTCTGTCAGTTCCATCCCCAGCTAAGAATTTGTTCAGGTTGCAATTAAAGTGCAGTTCTCCATGCTGTTTTTCTTCTGCAATTGTTTGTGATCTCCTTTTGTGTTGCATGCTTTTTAAAATTGTTATTCTCTATCAGTTGTGCATTTTTCCCAAATCAGGCAGCTATCAACTTTTATTCTTTCCTTTCCCAGACTCACGCAATAAAGAATCATAATATGTTCTCCTTTTATTTATTTAGTTTTAACTTTTATTGATTTTAGAGAGGAAGGAAGAGAGAGAGAGAGAGAGAGAGAGAGAGAAAGAAACATTGATTTGTTGTTCCATTTACTTATGCATTTATTGGATGATTCTTGTATGTGCTCAGACTGGGGATTGAACCCACAACCTAAAGACACTAACCAACTAACCTATCCAACCAGGGCCAGTATGTTCTCCTTTTATTTTATTTTTGTTAATTCTTACCCCAGGATATTTTTCCATTGATTTTTAGACAGAGCGAAGGGAGGGATAGAAACAGAGAGAAACATTGATGTGAGAGCACAACATTGATCGGGTGCCTCCCGTATGCCCCTCACTAGGGACCAAGACCACAACCCAGGCATGTGCACTTGACTGAGAATCGAACGGCAACCTCCTGGTGCAAGGGATGACACCCAGCCAACTGATTCACACTGGCCCGTGCAGAAATCTCTTGACTAGAGAATTTGCGAGGCTCTTTGCAGTGTTTCTGTCAGATTGTGTTCCTTTACATTTCATTTTCACCGTATTATCTTTCCTCTTGCTACACATTTGTGTGAATTTTCAGTCTTCCTTATTTTCATACAAACAAACAGGTCCATTTCAGTAATTTGCACATTCCCCCCTTAACTTTCTTTTTATCACATTTCACTTTATCCCTTGGCCTGGAAAGTACATCATCATCTTAGACTTTCCTGATTTAAGAGCCACAGAGAAATAAATGCTACTCTGGAGTTTTTTATTTGCTATCCAGGCAGTCATTCTATATACAGTGGTTTCTCTGACTGCAGTGTCCATGTCAAGGCTGTGTTTCCATTCTCTTTGCTTTTGGATCAGAGCTGCTTTTTAGTGGTGATTTGCTCATCTGACTTAGAAAGCAGCTCCAAACTCTGCCGTCCAGACACTTGTTAATTCCGTTTCCAGGTTTAGCCTGACAGTCTCTGGTTTACCTTCCCAGCAAGTAATCAAATGCTTCCCTTCCTCTTTTTAAGGCCTGAAAGGGCTCAGTGGTGAGCCCTTCATCATCAGGCATAGCTAGAGCAGATGTGTCATTCTTCAGGATCATGACTGTGTTCTGCTAAGTTCCATGCCCCATTGACCAGGAGCAGAACCTTGTGCAGAAGCTGCATTTACAGAGCTTGGTGTTAGCCTTTTCATGGAAGAGTGATCTGTGCTTCCTCCTGTTTTCATTTTCATTTTTCTTCACTCTCACTCTCTGAGTCTCCTCTGACATCAGGATTTGAAATCTGTTTAGGAACCACCACTTCACAGTTCCACCAACTCGCCCCTTGCCTCCCTTCCAACCCCCAATTCTTCTGGTTCCTGCCCGGGAATTACCATAGTATTTTTGACGCCTTCTACATGCCAGACCATGCATTCATGCTTCTTGGGACACTGTCTTATTGTATCCTCAACAAACCTACAAGGTGGAGACCACTTCCGACTTGCTGCTGACAGGGAGATGCTCGTAACATGGTCACACAGCAGAAAGAGACAAGGCTGGCTCCTAAGTGTTGTGCTTCCATCCCAAAGGTGTTGCAGTTGATAACTATTTCTATACATTTTAGTTATTAAAAACCTGATCTTTAAAAAAAAAAAAAAAAAAGTTACTTTGGTTTCGAGGTACAAAGAAGTCTTGGAATGCTCTCCGGCCCTGGATTAAATTCTCCGAGCACAGTAAGTGTGCTGATCTGGCACTTCCACCTCTAGGATGTATATTGGCCCTGCAGTGACCCTGCTTTCCCTGAGAACCCGAAGGTGGCCCCAGGGACTTGGTAGGGTTGTTCACATCCTGCCCTGTGCCTACAGGCTTCCCCACAGCTCAGGGCCATTCACTTTGGCTGCTTTCCCATCACGAGAAAGGAAACATAAAAGCTTTTTTTTT